CTGATCACCTCCATGCCACGCCGCATTGATGCAGTAATTCATGCAAAAGGAGCCCCTACCAAGTATTGAGTACATATGCAGTAAATGAACATACTTTCCAGAAGGTCAACAATTCACTAAAAATGTTTTTTTTTTTATTGGTCTTATGAAGTATTCTAATTTGTTGTGAATTGGTGGGTTTTTGTTAAATGTGAGCCAAAATCATCACAATTAAAAGAACCAAAGACTTAAACTACTTCAGTCTGTGTGCAATGAATTTATTTAATACACGAGTTTCACAATTTGAGCTGAATTACTGAAATAAATGAACTTTTCCACGACGTTCTAATTTATTGAGATGCACCTGTATAAAGTAAATAGCATCAGTTTTGATTTCTAAATTATGGCACTAACAATCTATCTTTAGCATACAAAACATTGCTAATACCAATCCAGATATGTTTTGTTAAACTGAACTGAATATGTGATTATAATATTTTTCTAGATGGAGGTGATTGTGGGGGATTTCGGGATAGTGGTGGTTCCTCGGGATGGAGCTGACACAGAAAGGATAATGAACCATTCATCTGTGCTTCGAAAACATAAGGTATTATTTGGGGAGTTTGGGGTACAACCTAGTAAGTTATTTACTGTTTAGTAGTTGTTTTAGTACACAGTAAATGCATGCAGTTTAGAGCGTATTTGCTGTTTTGTGATATTTATACGGCTTCGGTTTTCCTCTCACAGGACAATATAATCGTGGTAAAGGATGAAATTGACCACCCGATGTCAATCGTCAGTTCCACTAAGAGCAGGTGCATGTTCTCGCCGTCTACACATAATGCATCTCACCGTTCTGTACTGTAACCCTCTTGCTTTTCTCCTCACCAGACTGGCTCTTCAGCACGGCGACGGTCACGTGGTGGATTACCTGAGCCAGCCCGTCATCGACTACATCCTGCAGAGTCAGCTCTACTACAACCTAGTAAGTTATTTACTGTTTAGTAGTTGTTTTAGTACACAGTAAATGCATGCAGTTTAGAGCGTATTTGCTGTTTTGTGATATTTATACGGCTTCGGTTTTCCTCTCACAGGACAATATAATCGTGGTAAAGGATGAAGTTGACCACCCGATGTCAGTCGTCAGTTCCACTAAGAGCAGGTGCATGTTCTCGCCGTCTACACATAATTCATCTCACCGTTCTGTACTGTAACCCTCTTGCTTTTCTCCTCACCAGACTGGCTCTTCAGCACGGCGACGGTCACGTGGTGGATTACCTGAGCCAGCCCGTCATCGACTACATCCTGCAGAGTCAGCTCTACATCAATGCTTCTGGATAGGGTGGAGAAGTCCACTTCCGAGCCGTCAGTCATCCCTGTCTGTCTCTCTGTGTGTAATCTAGAGTATAATCCTCCTGTGCTACCACTGCTTTTCCATGTAGAGGAGCATTAATCTGTCCTCCCCTCTTACTCGTGTCTCATTGGGATGTACAGCACTGTGCCTGAGGGATCCGCTCCACCAATCAGCTTTAAGGGACTGGGTGGGCTTTGGTGCCCAATAGGAGGAAGAGGAGAGAGCCTCGCTGCCACTATGACAGAGAAAGAGAGTGTTTTTGATCGAATGAGATAATTCATTGCCTGCTATAATGTCGGTCTTTGCTGTTGATTTAATACTCTCTGTTCTTGTAGTTGCATGCCTAAGGGTTTTCTTTCAGCGCATGAGTGTTTAAAATACCACGTAGACCATAGTCTGTGGTTACAGTGTTTGCAAAAAACTGTGCTTAGACTCATCTCATCTCTAAATACATTTTCTACTCATCAATTAACTGTATGTACAGAGAAAATCTCATATACTGTATTATGCCTCAATGTTTTGTCTTCAATGTGCATTCATGTATACGTGGAGTATTTGGTTGCACATTAAAGAATGCGATTTCATTTACTTTGCTTTAGTGCACATTTACTTCTCCACAGATCCTTTTGCTCAACATTAACCTGCTAACATGCCACAGATGTGATGTCTAGTAAAGCCGGTCACTGCCTGTGCATCAAACCATTCGTTTCAGGATGAGATTCCTTGCACTTTTGCTTGTTTTGTGAAGAGATCACAAAAGAGATGACAAAAAAGTTGGAACATCCTTTAAATGATTAAATTATGATTTAAGCTGACATCTGCTGCACATCTAACACAACCTTTATAAATGAATCAACGTGTATTTGATGAGAAGAATAACAGATTCAGCGAATTATGTATGTTGTGCATAATCGATTTTGCGAGTTTATGGGAGGCTCCGGCTTTACGATATGAAGAAGACTTCCAATATATTACTGTGATTATTGTTTTTCATATGATAATGCTTTAAGTCTCAGGAAAAAAATTGTTTGATTTTGATTATTTTAACCAGAGACTTTTCATAAATGAAACTAGAAGCCAGAATGGTAATCTTCAAAAATGTAAAGCCTATTAAAATATTGAGATTGTAACTGTTACCACTTCATACCCAGCGTTTACTACTGTACCTGGCTGTTGGCTGTTGTTCGTGTCACATACATTAAAAGATAAATATAACACCCCCATTTCATTTTTTGAATGGTAATACTTCTCTAATATACAGAGAACTATTAAACACACTGATACCTCACTGTTTGTATCAACATAAATTCATGATTTATTTCCATTTTCATTGAGCAGTCACTATAGCAACTAGTGTATCAGGAATCACTAGGAGACCATGTAAATTCATTAAAAAATAGTGGGAAATACACCACAAATAATATATTTTTTCATGGTTTTGACATGCTGCATTCTTCTGTAGTTCTACAACCCTCACTGCTTCCTTGCATTCTTCATGCCTTTATTCAAAACATATTGTTGATGATATTGTTTGTTTCTTGTATTTTTATTGCCCTCTTGCTTTTAAATTGATCATAGACATAAATCTCCTTGTATACATATAAAACACCATGTAACATTATAAGGTTCTGTTTTTAAGATGCTAAAACAGTAGATCTTAATTTTAGAGGTCAATATTATTCATTTTTTAGTTAGTTGTCTATGGTGTAAAGCATGTGTAAGTATGTCTGCGTAATGTCTTATATGAATATATATCTACTTTATAGTGGCTATTCAATAAGCATTCAAAAACTTAAAGTATGTTGCCATGAAAATAACTCATGTCCTTGATGACAATACTGAATTTAATAAAACAAAACAGAACAGAAAAGAATGAGAGTGGTTAGTTTGTGCATTTTTCACTAGATGCTGAAGCAGATGGAAAAGCAACTGGATGTTACTTCTTATCTAGAACAATTACAGATATGGTATATGTTTATCTATTAATCACCCACAATGAAATATCTTTGGCACTCATGCAAAACAGAAATATCATTTACCTCATTTCAAACTTCACAGTAATAATTTTCAAAATTAGAAAAACAAATTAAACTGAAAAAATAAATACAAAAAAATTCACACACAGTACAAAATCATGTTATGACAAAAACACTCTTTAGTTAAAAAGTAGTGTCAGTAAGTTCATAGATTAAACTATGTAGCATTGTGATTTGGGCCTGCAGTAACCCAAAGCCTTTACGGCCTTTCAATTGGTGGTATGTTGTAACAGCCATTGGGAATGCTTTTACGGATCTCCTCTAAGTTGGCAATGTCAGCCAGGATGGTGTCAATGTCATTGATCATGCCTGCAATGGTGGCTCTCTGCTGGGCTTCCTTCTCCTCCAGGTCCCTGAGTCTGGGCCTCAACTCCTTCTCCACACGGCTGCGGCTTTTAGCCACGGCGTCCTCTAGCTCGGCCAGTCGTGTGTCGTCAATTTCCCCAGAAGTTCCTGGAAAACAGTATTACGGTCATGGTGAATCCTTGCTCATCACTGGGATAAAACATTGGATTTGAAAATAGATTTAGCAAGAAATAATATTTTAGTTCTGCCTCCGACATGCCATTATCAAATGTTTTAAGTGATATTTTATAGAAAAGACTAAGATTCTCTGACAAAGCTTGTCACACTTAACAAGTGTTACTACAAAATGTATTTTATCTTACTAAAATAGTTTTTGTTAACTGAAATAAAGCTAAACTAAAATATAAACGAGAGAAAAAACTTTAGCAAAAATGAAAAACGCTGCCAAGTCTGAAATAAAATAAGTTTAAGTCAAAGTACTAAAATGACTAAAACTGAAGTAAAAATAAATTAAAGCTAAATAGAAAACTAAAAAAAATTCTAAAAATGACAAAACCACGTAACAAAATTACTAAAGCTTAAACTGGATAAAATGAAAACTAAACATAAACACACTGAACAAAAGCTAATTAATAATCAAAATATTAATACTATAATATTATAGAAACTGCTTGTGTTGCATGTAGTGAATCTTTGTTATAACTCACCTAGTGAGCTCATAATATCAGTGATTGTCTTTAAAGTATCACTAACAGCATCCCTGGAATTCTTTGCATTTTGAAGTGCCCCAGTGGACTCCATGACAGCCTGATTTAACAACAATGAAAAGAAAATTTAGCATACATCTCCATGTTTACATATAATTTCAAGTATCTTTCTCAAAGAGTTTTATATAAGCGGACATTCTTACATTCTTTGCTTCCGTTATCTGTGCTTTTGCCTTGTTTTTCTCTTCATTCAGTTTGTCTCTAGTTACAGAAGCCCCTGTCTTCAGTCCATCCACATCCTTTTTCAATTTAGTGGCAGCTTCCAAAATATCCAAAGAGGGCGGAAGAGCAGCTGACATTCCCTGTGGAGACACATACAAGCACCCTGTGAGTACATTCAGAATGTTCTGTATACGACTCAAATAGACCCACTCAACTCGGGTCATTTAGTAAAGCTAGTGACAGACGTTGAGAGAAACTGAACTGGTCTCTCTGTGAAATCGACGTAATAATGGCAATGGCACAAATACTGTTTTTACAAAATAAAAGGGGTGAGCACTCAAGGTAACAGGTCGCTATACCTCCAGTTTGGTTGCACTGCTTGTAAGAGTGTCGATAGTATCCTGAGCATCTCTGTAGTGAGAAGACATTGCATCCAGAATGTCCTGAGTCTCAATGTTGTCAGCTATGGCCTTCTGGATGGTGGCATTGATGGCAGGAAGTTTTCTAATAGCAGCATCTGCCAGATCCTTATTCCCACTGATCTGGTCATCAAATCCTGAGTAAAGACACAATAGAGAAATGCATATTTTTAAAGGGTTAAGGTTAATTGTGTTGGATAGTTTAAATAATGACAGAACATTATCTGGAGATATTTACACAACTGCTCAAAAGGTCAGGTAGGTAAGAATTGTTTTTAAATGAATAATTTTATTCCGAAAGGATGCACTAATGTAACAGCAAACAAGTTTATTATGATACAAAAGATTTCTATTTCTAATTAGTGCTGTTCTTTTGAACTTTTTCTATTCATCAGAGAATCCTGAAAAAATGTATCACGGTTTCCACAAAAATATTAAGCAGCACATCTATTTTTAACACTGATTATGAAAAAGCATGTGACACTGAAGACTGGAAGTAATGGCTACTAAAAATGTAGCATCGCCATCACAGAAATAAATTACATTAAAAATATATTAAAATAGAACACAGTTATTGTAATAGTAACAGGGACTGCAGATGAAACTATCTCTATAGCTAATTCTGGGGCAGTCATGGACTGTCCATTATCTCTGTTAAATAAACAAATGAAAATTAAATAAAAAGAAATATAAAAAAAAAATCATTTATTTTAAAAAATATCTTTTACAATATTCCTGTTTTACTGTAAATAAATGCAGCCTTGGTTAGCATAAGAGACTCCTTCAAAAATATTAAAAAACCTTACAGACCTTTTGACTGACAAACTCTTAATCTGTAGTGCATACATAATATTTAATAGCTTGTAGAAGTCTAGTGTTCATCCGTACCTTTGAGCGTCTCTAGCGTCTTATCCAGACTATCCTTGTTGTTGGCAAAGATATCCAGAGATTTATTTTTGACTGCTTCAGCTGCATTTGCCCTGGCAAGAAGTTTGTCTTGAACCTTAAATAAAGCAAAAACAATTGTTCATTTTCCCGGTGACCCAGGAACAACCATTAGAGGTCAATGTTTGCACAGAGATATATAAATCTTGCTGCAGTTTCTTGGTTGACTATATTGTTCTTTGTAATGATTGGTTTCTGAACATCTACACTTTCAGGAATGTTTAACAGAGGATCAGGTTTACCTGTTGGAAGCTCTTGGCCTTATTGAACAGATCAGTTGTCTCTTTCTGCTCATTGAGCATATACTGCTGAAAGTTCTGGTACTGTGATAAATTGCCCTCCACCATACCCTTCAGACCGTCGAACTTGGAAACCACACCAGCAATGTCCTTCTGCAGAAACAGAAAGATAATAGTACACATTGTTCATTTTATACTGTGTATTTTTGTAAACTCCAGTCTGAACAGCAAACATTTTGTGGAAGTGAATGGAGGTACGAACAAAGACTTGCATCTCCTGTATTCCCCTATTTTTACTTAAACTCTTCTATAAACATAAATATTCAATTCAGATTGACTACCGTCAAGGGCTTTGGAATTTTCTTCTCCAGGTCAGATAACTGTTTGAGAGTGTTCTGAGCCACTCCGCTCTCCTTTCCAGCTGCATCAGTAATTTGAATGGCCTTCCTATCCATGTCAAGCACTTTAGTTGCATCTGTTTCATACCTGAAAACAACATCATTAGAAAGTAAGGTCACAGTCTTTATCTCTGCACAATGAAGGTAAACACTTCGGTACTGTGGAGAAAATTATCTGGTTTAACAGTGTTTCTAATACAAAAGCAACTTACTGTTTTTTGAGGTCCCTGAGCTCGTCTTTGACCTTATTTTCTCGGCTGATGACACCACGGATGAGGTCTAGGGCTTTCTCAGATTCTGTTAGAGAATTGGCTGCAATGGTCTCCACTGTCACTGCCTCACCTTGGTGCCTGGCAAGAAAATACCCTTCAGTCAGTCTTTTATTTTTTTCAGTCAGTCACATATTTTGGATGCACAACAAAGATGAAATGTAACGTGGAAGCCTAGTCAGTTGTTAAAGGCATTTTTAATGCAATGGTTCTTCTCGACTATCTTACCATGGGCAGCAAGGGAAAAAACAATGCTAAATGCAAATAATGCAACAAATGTAATGCAAATAAATAATCAAGATAGCAAATCCAATCAAATTCTAGACTTTAAAGGGGTCATATGATGCGATTTCAAGTTTTCCTTTCTCTTTGGAGTGTTACAAGCTCTTGGTGCATAAAGAAGATCTGTAAAGTTGCAAAGACTAAAGTCTCAAATCCAAAGAGATATTCTTTATCAAAGTTAAGAGTCAACCACGCCTACCTAAAATGGCTCATTCTAACACGCCCCCACATATCTACATCACTATGTGGAAAAATTTGCATAACGCCGCCCAAATGTTAACGCAAAGAAAGAAGGCGTAACTTTAATTCTCACTGTAGTATTGTTGACGCTGCAGCCATGTC